TAGAATGAAATAAGTAACAAATATCAGATCAGAAAGAAATGAATTTTAGATTTAAATAAACCACAAAAGATGTATAAACAAAGAGTTGGTTTTCCAAAAAGACAAACAAAATTGATAATCTGTACCTAGACTAATGACAAAAAAGAGAGAAGACTCAAATAAATAATATCAGAAATGAAAAAGGAGACATTACAACTGATACCACAGAAATACAAAGGATCATAAGAGATTACTGTGAACAACTATATGTGAAGAAAGTGGAAAACCTAGAAGAAACGGATAAATTCCTGGACACATACAACTTACCAAGGTTGAATCATGAATAACTAGAAAACCTAAACAGACAAATAACAAGTAATGACATTGAAGCAGTAATAAAAAACCTTACAACAAAGAAAACCCCAGGACCACATGGCTTCACTACTTAATTCTAGCAAACATTTAAAGAACTAATACCAATTCTCAAACTCTTCCAAAAAACTAAAAAGGAAGGAATTACTTAAAATTCATTCTATAAGGCCAACGTTTACCTCATATCAAAACTGAATAAAGATACAGCAAAAAATAAAACTATCGACCGGTATCCTTAATAAACACAGATGTGAAGATCCTCAATGAAATACTAGCAAACAGAATCCAATGTGTTTTAATCCAACATATTAAAAAGATCATTCATCATGATCAAGTGGGACTCATCCCAGGGATGCAAGGATGGTTCAACATACACAGATCAATAAACATGATACATCACATCAACAGAATGAAGGGAAAAACCACATGATCATTTCAATAGATACAGAAAAAGCAGTTGATAAAATCCAACACCCTACCATGATAAAAACACTCAATTATTTAGGTATGGAAAGAATGTACCTCATCACAATAAAGGCCATATATGACAGACCCACAGCTAATGTCATACTGAATGGACAAAATTGAAGGCTTTTCCTTAAGACCTGGAACAAGACAAGGATGCCCACTTTCCCCACTCTTTTTCAATATAGTACCAGAAGTTTTAGCCAGTGCAATAAGGCAAGAGAAAGCAATAAAGGCTACGTAAATTGGAAAGGAGGAATTCAATCTATCCCTATTTGCAGATGACATGATCCTATACATAGAAAACCCTAAAGACACTATCAAAAAATTACTAGAAATAATAAATGAATTCAGTAAAGTGGCAGGATATAAAATCAACACACAAAAGTCAATAGCCTTCCTATACGCCAATAATAAAATAGCTAAAGAAGAAATCAAGAAAGTAATCCCATTCAAAATAGCTACCAAGAAATGAACTACCTAGGAGTAAATTTAACCAAGGAGGTGAAAGACCTGTACAATGAAAACTATAAAACACTGGTGAAAAAAATTGAAGACACAAGTGAATGGAAAGATATCCCATGGTTTTGGGTTAGAAGAATTGACATCATCAAAATGTCTGTATTACCCAGAGAAATCTACAGATTCAACACAATTCCTATCAAAATACAAATGACATTCTTCACAGAAATAGAAAAAACAATCTTAAAATTTGTATGGAACAACGAAAGATCCTGTTTAGCTAAAGTAATCTGAACAAAAAGAACAAAGTCGGAGGCATCACAATTGCTGACTTCAAAATATACTATAAAGCAATAATAACTCAAACAGCATGGTACTGGCATAAAAATAGTCAAGTAGCCCAATGGAACAGAATAGAGAGACCAGCAATAAACACACACACTTACAGCCAACTGATTTTTGACAAAGGCGCCAAGAATATACAGTGGAGAAAGAACAGTCTCTCCAATAAATGATGCTAGGAAAACTGTATATCCACATGCATAAGACTGAAACTAGATCCCTATCTCTCACCATACAAAGAAATCAACTCAAAATGGATTAAAAACCTAAATTTAAGACCCCAAACTGGAAGAAAACATATGGGAAACATTACACAAAATGGGAGTGGGCAGCCCTTTTTTGAGGAAGACTGTAAAGTCACAGGCAACAAAAACAAAAATACACAGATGGGACTACCTAAAACTGAAAAGCTTCTGTACAGCAAAGATACCATCAGCAAAATGAAGAAACAACCTACAGAATGGGAGAAAGTATTTGCAAACTATACATCAGACAAGGGACTAATTATCCAGAATATATAAGGAAATCAAACAACAGCAAAAAACCAAATAACCCAATTAAAAAATGGGCAAAGGATCTGAACAGACATTTCTCAAAAGAAGAGATACAAATGGCCAAAAAGCACATGAAAAAATGCTCAAAATCACTAATCATCAGGAAAATGCAAGTTAGAACCACAATGTGATGTCATCTCATCTCTGAAAGACTATTACAAACAAAATGGAAAATAACAAATGCTGGTGAGGATGTGGAGAAAAGGGAACCCTCCTATATTGTTGGTGGGAATGTAAATTGGTACAGCCATTGTGGAAAACAGTATGTAAGTTCCTCAGAGAACTAAAAATAGATCTATCTTCCCACCCAGGTATTCCACTACTGGGTATATACCCGAAGGAAATGAAATCAATATATCAAAAAGACACCCGTACTCCCATGTTCACTGCAACACTATTCATAACAACCAAGAGATGGACTCAACCTAAATGCCATCAACGGATGAATGAATTAAAAAACTGTGGTATAATATTACACAGTGGAATAATATTCTGCTATAAAAAGAAATGATATCCTATAATGTGCACCATCATGTTAAGTGAATTCAGTGAAGCGGCACAGAAAAGCAAATACCACTTGACCTTGCTCATATGTGGAATCTAAAAAAAAAAAAAATGTGGTTCGCATAGTAGAAAATAGAATCATGGTTACCAGAGGTCGGTAGGGTGGGGTATGTGTGTAGGGGGGAGATGTGGTGAACTAATGGATACAAAACTATGCTATCTACCCTAAGTGAGTTGTTGTGTATATGCATGTATTGCAACAACACACTGTAGCCCAGAAATATGTACAAGTAAAGGTTAAAAAAAAAAAAGAAAAACACAACAGATTTAAATGAGATAAACTGGAGTAAGCTTTAGGAAAAGCCATCATTTTCCTAATAAAAAACAGGGTTGGCTTAGCTGGCATGCACCTTTTATACTTTGCTCTTTCCCTTCATTCTTGTGTCTAATAGGTGCTATGCATGTATGTAGAAGAATGTAGTTCCCTGCTTGTGACTATGAAAACTAAAGTCACAGACTGTGACAACGCAAAAAAGAAGAAACAACCTGCTTCCTTTAGCAACTACACCAAACCTGGACCAGCTACCTTATAGGCTCCTTATTACATTACCCCTTATTTGGTTAAGCTGTGTGATTTGATTTCTATTAGGAGTGACCAAATGAAAATCTATCCTAAACAACTTGCTTTTCAACTTGCTTTTCCATTTTTTTTTTTTGGGGGGGGGGTCTATTTTAACATGTCTAGTTCCCCTCCCTGACCCCAACATTTTCTATTGGTAATTTTATTGGTATTGCATATATTTACAAATTAATTTATGGAGAATTGGGGTTTTTTTTTTATGATTTTGAGTCTTCTTTAAGCATATCATATACCTCTCCATTTGGTCTAGTCTGCTTTTGAGGCTTAAGTAAGATTTTAAAGTTTTCTTCATATAACTTTGTACATCGCTATACAGTGAATGTTTGTGTTCACCCAGAATTCATATGTCGAAATGTAATCCCCAATGTAAGGGTATTTGGAAGTAGGACCTTTGGGAGGCTATTAGGTCATCAGAATGGGTACCCTCAGGAATAGGGTTAGTGCCCTTAAAAAAGAGATTCCAGAGAGATTCCTCACCCTTACCCACTGTGAGACACAATAAAAAGACTGCATCTATGAACCTGGAAAACGGCCCTCACCTGACATAGAATCTGCCAGTGCCTTCATATTGTACCCACCAGCCTCTAATACTGTGAGAAATGTTTGTTGTTCATAAGCCATCCAATCTCTGGTGTTTTTGCTACTGCAGCCTGAAGGGAGTAAAACACACAAGTTTCTACTATAACCACTGTTTGTTTTAATCTGCTGTGTAATTGATACAAAGGGGAGAATAGATGTTTTTTCTGAATCCGAAGAGAATCTGAAAAGTCTTTAACACTAGTTGAGTTAATTATGACAAAATCAAAGTAGTCATTTGGTTAAGTATTCCTAGGTCAATTAGTAAATTAAAATTCAATTCTCTAAAACAAAAATACAATGAGTACTTTCTATGATATATCAAACAAGTAAAAATTGTTCTCAAGGTTAAGACCTTCATAGAATGGTAAATAGAAGGTCCTGGGAAAGCTTCTTGCAAACACAAATTCAATTTTATGAAAACGGAAAAGAAAGAATATTTACCTCAATCTTGCTTGTGTTAACTCTTTTTAGTGTCTTTAAGATATCTAGTTTATAAGTATTCTCCAGCCTTCTTTATTTTTATATGATTACTAATATAAGTTCAGTGTATTCTCAAAGCACTTGATACTTTAGAACGTCTTATTCTTCATGGATCTTAAAGTTTTGTTTGACAGATATAAATATAAAACAAAACAAAAAATCAACACACAAATAAATAGGTAATTGCTCACCGTGATAAAAAATGCTTGGACGGATAAGTATGAGCAAATTATATGAGGTGAGAAACACAAAATGTAAACTTCTAACAATTTAAATAAGCACAGATAAAATATGAAGTACAAGGCAAAATTCACATGACTATTTCATATATTTAAAAAAGATCCACCAGAGCAAAACACTGAATCTTCAAAGAAATTTTGCCCTTTTTGCTAGCCTGTTTTCAGCACAGGCAAACGAAAATCGATGCTTTAATGGATAATTTGGTGGAAGTTCCCGCTAGACGAAAACCTGGAGTTGGAACTATCAGGGGAACGTTAAGCGGCATTCAGACCTGCGCATGCTCTGTTGGTGAAGTAGCAACCCTCCTCCCCCTAGTCGGAAGTCCAGGTTTGTTTATTAAATTACGACTGTCGTAAACTGGGATTTCCTGACGACTTCCTGGCTTTACGATGACAACAACTATGGCGGCCGCCAGTGGTAGATTTGAAAGTGCGAAGAGTATCGAAGATCATAAAGAACAGACCCGGATTGCCAGAGCCGAGGTGTTGCGCCAGGTACCTGCGTTGGGGGCTTTTGTAGGAATTTAGATTTGTGGGAGTGGAGGGTTCCCGGGAGCTTGCCCACTCCCCCCTTCCCTCACCACCTTGTTTGGGTGGAGTCTCTCTTTGCGAAGCCGGTAAGATCTTATGTATCTCCCGCCCCCAGATAGTCTCGCAGGTTCCAGTTACTTATTGTCTCTTCAGGATGATGTTTCTTTTTCTCCAAGTTCCCTTAACTTCTGAGTCATCCATTGTTTTACATTTCTAATCCCGGGACTGCGGACTTCCTAGGTACTCTGCCAGCCTGTCCTTGCATCTGCTCTTATCTGAAATGTTTTTTTTTTTTTTTTTTCTTTCCAGTAACACATGTAAGGCGTGTTTGAGTAGACTTTGTTTCATTTCATTTGATGTTTCATTCTCTAGTCTTACTGTTGGTATCAATTCTAGACTTATCGTAAGCCCTTACTGATCCAAACAGGAGTTAACACTAGAGACCCAGAAAATTTAGCCTTTCACAAAATGTTGAAAAGCACTGTATTTCTTCTTTAGATTGAGATGCATAGAGGTAACATATAAAGAATGGAGGAAGTAACCTATTGAATTGTGGGACAGCTTATTCAGTATATAAGATGTGTGGCGAAGAAAGGGAAAAGTTGTACTTGGAGAGCAACAGAGTGTTCAGTGAGAGTTTTTGTTTGTGTTTGTTTTAAGATGATAGAGTCTTAAACTAGTTTAAATGCAGATGAAAAGGAGTCAGTAGAGAAGAGGTAGAGAAGACAGAAGGGAGAAAGGGGTAATGACTACCGCTAGATTTTAATGGGGAATAGTGTACAATTAAAGTTGGACAGGTGAAAGGTTGGTATTGTTCCCTGATTTCAGCATATGTAATATACATGTATAATAAATATTCTTCATCTTCATCTCTTTGGTGTTTCAAGCAGTTTTTGGAGAGAGTAGGGTATATAAGCTGTGATAAATTTTACAGTAGAGATATTCATAGAGTTTGAGAAAGACCAAACCCAGCTTTGGAGTTTGGGAGAGAGAATGAGAAGGCAGGAACAATCTTCTAGGAAAAACTTTGCTTTATTTGATTATTGTTGAAGGATGAATAAAAATTAGCAATATGATAATTTCTTTTTAGAAAGATGATTCATCCTGGAGCATTTTGGGGGGCTGGATACTGGGGTATGAGCAATGCGTATTGAAGGCATGGAGGTCAGTCTAAAGTCTAAGGCAGTAGCCATGGGGATGGTGAAAGGAAAAGAGATTCCAAGTCATAATTGAGGTAGGGAGTTTAGGGAGAGGGGAGGGTCTAGAATAGGTCCCAAGGTTCTGACCCTGAATGATGGCTCGATTCACTGGAGATTGGTAATGTGATTGGTAATACAGAAGGAGAGGGCTTTTGTTTTTGTCTGTCTTTGTGCACTGGTAGAAGCAGATTCCTGGCAAGGAACAGACTGTTCATTCACGAGCAGCTAGCTATATATGAAAGCTGGACAGGTTTTTGTTTGCCTTTTTTTGTGAAAAGCAGTTGGTTCAATTGGCAGTTTGTCTTTTTTGTTGTTGCAGGCTAAAGCCAATTTTGAAAAAGAAGAACGGCGTAAAGAACTTAAGCGACTCCGGGGTGAGGATACCTGGATGCTACCTGATGTGAATGAGCGAATTGAACAATTCTCACAGGTGAATACTAACAGGCCTACTTGGTGTAAGGTTATCTGTCTTTTTTTTGTACTTATTCAAGTTAATATCAGAAGAACAAGTTTATAGACGTCATAAGATACGGAATGAATATCACATAGTTGTCATTACTGAATAGTTTTATCTCTGGCAGAAGTGTTTCAATATAATATTTTGGATATTATAACACTGAAAAGATTTTTTTATTTGAGTTGGCAGTGAGAATGCTTAGCTTTAAATATTTGTCCCACTTATAGCAAGCTTATGGATCTAAAAAATTATACATTTTTGTGTGGGGGGCAGCTAGCTGATATGGGAATCTGAATCTGTGACCTTGTTGTTATCTGCACCATGGTTTCCCAATTGCGCTAACTAGCCAACCCCCAAATTATACATTTTAACTTTATGTTTTGATTATTTTTTCGGTTTCAAGCCTTGTTTTCTCTTCATGCAATATTTGAAATTTGTTTTTAATTGACATAATAATTGTATATATTTGTGGGATACAATGTGAAATATAGTAGTCCCTCATTATCTATGGTTTCATGTTCCTCTGTCTCTGTTACTCACCATCTCTTGTTACCCATGGTCTGCCATAGTCTGAGAGTATTAAACGGAAAATTCCAGAAATAATTTATAAGTTTAAATTGCATACCATTCTGAGTAACATGATGAAATCTTGAGCCATCTCTCTCTGCTCCTTTATTACAAGAAGGGGAAGTACAGTACAAGATATTTTGAGAAAGAGAGAGCACATTCACATAACTTTTATTATAGTATATTATAATTGTTGTCTTTATTATTGTTGCTAATCTCTCACTGTGCCTAATTTATAAAGTAAACTTTATCATAGGTACATATATGTAGGGTTCAGTACTATTCTGCTGTTCCCGTCATCTGCTGGAGGTCCTGGAACACATACCCTGCTCATAAGGGGGGAATATTGTATATAATACATTATTGTTAACTGTGGGCACCAGTCAGTACAGTGGATCTTTAAAACCTATTTTTCCAGTCTAACTAATATGTTGTACCCTTTAGTCACCATCTTCCCTTTCTCCATTCCTTTTCCCTCCCCCCACTGCAGCCTCCTCCTACAATTTTAATTAATGCTGTCTTGTTTTATTTCTTTATGGCCTAATAATCTTGTATAAATTTTTTTGGGACCATAGAGGGCTATTATTTTGGGGACCATAGAGGGCTATTGTGTGTGTGTGTGTGTGTGTGTGTGTGTGTGTGTGTGTGTAGGTATGTACAGATATGTTTTGTACAAGAGTACTTCAAAAAGTTTGTGGAAAAATAGAATTGAAAGACTATACAAATCTTTCCAGGAAGTTTTTGAAGTACCCTCGTATATATATGTGTGTTTATTTGGTTATATTTGTGTCACATGAATGTAAAAATAAATTAAAACCAAAATTTTCCTCATATTTTTCTGATAAGAAATCTCAGCTATATGATTTATTAGTAGTATACATATTATAGGAGGCATGTTATGGTTTCTTGGAAGATTATACTTGTTTAGTCATATTCTTTGCCTCATTTCATGAAAGATTTAAAGTATTTTGGAACATGAGTTTTTTCCCTCAAAATGCTTTCTTTTAATGTAAGACAAAATTAAATTCCTTGTTTACCTGTTCAAAATGATTATTTATAGGAACATTCTGTGAAGAAAATGAAGAAAAAAGACAAGCATTCAAAGAAAGTAAAGAAAGAGAAGAAAAAAAAGAGCAAGAAACAGAAATATGAAAAAAACGATGATTCATCTGATAGTTTATCAGTAAGTATGTACTAAAATTAACCAAAGAAGCTATTTGAGAAAATTTTATTTAAAGGCATAATATTTGGGAACTTAAAATATATATGAACTTAAAAAATATTGCTAGTTATGATATGAAAATATCTGGGAGACATCTACTTGGAGGTGTCCAGGAACTATTGGAAATGTGGATCTTGGGTTCCAGAGAAAGGTAAGAGTCTGGGGGTATTATTTGGGAATTATTGCTAGTTGGTGTCATTAGATGGATGAAATCCCTAGGGGGACTGAAAAGAAAGATGAAACACCAGCACTTAGGAGCCATATAGGAAGTAAAGGATGCTAAGTAAAAGTTGTTGAAAATTAGAAAGAGAAGCAGGGAAGAGCAGTATTATAAACATAAGGGAAAAGAGTTTCAAGATATTTGAGAGTCTGTTACCCCTGTCTGCTTTTTCATAGAAGTTAATATTAAAGTCTTTAAAGTAGGTTATGTTTATATACTCTGGGGCCAAAAGGAAGCAAATGCTGAGCTGGCTGCACCAACCAGTTCTGGATTAAGAGGACTCACTGTGGAAAACAAGACAAATCTTTCATACTTTTTTCAGGAAGAAAGGTTTTGCTTAGAGAGTGACGAGCTAGCGATGTTTATGGATGACTGGTCTCCCATGTCTGATCTTCATAGAGTTATCCTCTCATTGAATCACCGTAGTTCAATGTCTGGCCCACCTGTAGTTTCAGAAACTAAGTCTTTGGCAGTAGACTGTCAAAGATAATCACATCTTGATATTAGTTAAAAAGGTGAGAACAGATTTTATTCAGTAACCACACCACTGATATTTGGGGAAATTGCTAAGTTCCACTTCAGTTTGTGCAGAGATGATTTAGGTATTTTAAAGGGAAAATGAGGGATGGGGGAAAGCGAAGCCTTGGTAGAGTCAGAAAAGTGAAAAATTACTAAGAGTTGGTCACTGTAAATTTGATTAGCTGTGTTTGCTAGCTGGCAGTTTTCAAAGTTAGTATTCCGTCTTCCTACAGAGACTGGGAGACAGAGAGCCTATAATTACATTCAGAGGATTGGCTTTGAGGTTCTTAAGAGATACCATATTTATAACTGTACATTCTTTTTAGTAAATGCCCTAAGAAAGGGAGATCGGGAGCCTATCATCATGTGTTGGCTAGAACAGGTAGTAAGTTTTCCTGGCAGCATTGAGCTTTCTTAGACAAGCATTTTACTGGGGGGCAAGGGTCATCCTAGGGACACAGTATTATACTGCTAGTAGCCATGCTAGAGTTAAGTCTCTTAGTGCAAGAGGAGTTTGGATAGAGTTTTGTGCCAAAAGTTCTGCAGTTCTTGACATGCTTGACATGGTAATTGACCTTGAAAGCCTATCTTATATGAGAATATGGTATATTAATTCGTAGTGAGGAATACAACTAGATAGTCTTGAGGACTAGCCAGTATATTTTGTAATGGTAGAGATATTTATATTATATAGAAAAAATTTAAAAATATAACTCAAAACAAAGGGAGTTAAAAAAATTTTGAAATGAAAAGAAGATAGGAACACTATTTCCACAATTCTGGGTTTGGATTATTGGCTCCATTGAGAATCTGATAAAAGTTTTTTTGTATCCTTTCTCCAAAAAAACATGTACATACAAAATTGTTTATTTCAGTGGGGTTTATAAAATTCCCTGAACTTTATGCAAGGATTACAGGTTAAGAACCCCCGGATCTGCCAGGCTGTCTACATATTATATCATTTGATTTAGAGCACTTCATTCCCCATTGTCCATTTTTTTCCCCTTAGTTCTTTCCTGGAAGTAGATGTATATATTTTTGCTGCAACATATAGTATGTATACTTATATATACTTAATAAGTTGTATAACATACACATACATACAAAGACACACATAGACACACACACACACACACATTCCTTAGAGCAGTTTGAATGAATGCTCTGTGCTCACACCACATTGAAGTGGATTGGAGAATGAAAGAGAAGCTTTTACTGGCAGTAAAGGGAAAGGGAAGGAAAGACAGAGGGGTAGCTAGAGGAGTCAGGGTTTTTGGAAGGTCTTTTTGAGAAAATGTTTTTAGGAGAGAGGAAATATTAAGGAGAATGGTAAATTTTAATTAGCAAGGTCCCAGGGGAAAGGGTTAGCTTTGATTAGGAGTAGGAGCACCCTCTCTTCTGAGCTAGGAGGGAAGCTGTAAAAATGTGTGTAAAAATAGATAAATAAGGAGGCAGTATGGTCAGAAAGAGAGCAGATTAGTGATGGTGTTTCTGCTTGTTGTTGTCTGTTTCCTTTGTGAAGTAGAAGGCAAAATCATCTGAGAAGGTATTTGGGAGTAAAAGGACAACTGAGGAAATGGTATAAATTTGAAATAACTTTGCTTAGATAATAAAAGAGAAGCAAAAAAATTGCTCAGTAGCATTGAGGATCCATGTGAGGCTGAAAAACATCTTGGCTTTGACAAGGTCTTTTAATTTTTTTCTTTTAACTTTTAAAATCAACTTTATTGAAGTACGATTTACATATAATACAGTGCTCATATTTTAAGTGTACTATTTGATGAATGCTCCTGTTTTCCATGTCAACTGAGATGTGGAATGTTTCCACTATCCCATAAAGATCGTCATGGTCCTTTGCAGTTAATCTCCCTTCTACCTCCCTCTTCTTCCCTCTTTCTCTTCCCCCATTCCAGGATTGGGCAATCACAAATCTGCTTTAGCACACTGTAGCTTTTCCTATTCTAGAATTTCATATAAATTGATTTATGTAATATGATCTTTTTTGTGTCTGGCTTCTTTGGCTCAACATATGTTTATTTGATTCATTCATGTTATTGCATGTTATCAGTAGTGCCTTTCTTTTTATTGCTGTATTCCAGTGTGTGAATATACCACAATTTGCTCATATGTTTATCTGTTGAAAGCCATTGGGTTATTTTTAGTTTGGGGCTGTTATGAATAACATTACTTGGGTCTTGCTTATTTATCTAGCCTATCAGTTTCTTCCATTTTAATTAGACTGTTTTTTGCACTGTCCAATATGGTAGCTGTGTATGGTTTTAAAATTTTTAATTAAATTTATTAGAATTATTTCAGGTTGAAAATTCATTTCTTCAGTCTCACTAGCCAAATTTTAAGCACTCAGAAGCCACATATGGCTAGGTTAGTGGCTACCATATTGGACAGTGTAGGTAAAGAAAAATTCTGTTGAATAGAACTGGTTTAGATATTTATGTTTAATGTAATTGTTGATATGGATGAGCTTAAATCTACCATTTTGCGATTCCTTTTCAGTTTGTCCCATTTGTTCTATATTTCTTTTCTCCCTCCTTTTCTTGCCTTCTTTTGGATTGAGGGTTTTTTAGTATGCCATTTCATCTCCACTATAGGCTTACCAGGTGTACCTCTTTTTAAAATTATTTATTATTTATTTATGGAAACATAATTGATTGTACATATCTGTGGGGTACAGTGTAGAATATCAGTACCTGTGTGCAATACATGATGTTCAAATCAGTATAATTAGTATATTCAACATCAAAAAAGGTAGTCATTTTTTGTGACCCTTTATCAATTTCTTGCTAAACCTCCTCCCGCCCCACCTCTGGTGGCCTCACTTCTGTTCTCTCCTTTTGAAAGTTCAGCGAATTATTGTGATTGTTTTATCCTTCTTTCTTTTCTTTTTTTATGTGTTTGTTTATTTTTTTAGCTCCCACTTGTGGGTGCGGACATGTGGTATTTCACTTTCTGTTCCTGGCCTATTTAACTTAACATAATTTTCTGTAAGTTCCTCCATGTTGCTGTGAATAGCAGTATTTCATTCTTTTCTATTGCAGAGTAGCATTCCACTGTGCAGATATACCACATTTTCCTAATCCAGTCATCCATCCATGGACATTTAGGTGGGTTCCAACTCTTAGCTGTGATAAATATGGGAGTGTAGGTATCCCTTCAACATGATGGTTTCCATTCCTTTCAGTATATACCCAGCAGTGGGATTGCTGGATCATATGGCAGTTCTATCTATAATTGAGGAAACTCCATACTGTTTTTTATAATGGCTGCACTAATTTACAGTCCCACCAACAGTGTAGGAGGGTTCCCCTTTCTCTGCATTCTAGCCAGCATTTGTTATTCTCTGTCTTTTGATAATAGCGAGTCTTAACTGGGTGAGATGATATCTCAGTGTGATTTTAATTTGCATTTCCCGATGCTTGGTGATGTTGAGCACTTTTTCATGTGTCTGTTGGCCATTTGTATATCTTCCTTTGAGAAATGCCTATTCAGCTCCTTTGTCCAATTTTTAATTAGGTTACCTGTTATTTACTGTTAAGTTGTTTGAGTTCCTTGTATATTCTGGATATTAATCCCTTGCCAGATGCATAGTTTGCAAATATTTACTACCATTCTGTAGGTTGTCTTTTCACTCTATTTTTTTTTTTTTTTGCTCTGCAGAAGCTGTTTAGTTTGATATAATCCCATTTTTAAATTTTTTCTTTTGTTGCATATGCTTTGGGATCTTATTCATAAAGTCTTTGCCTGGTCTTACTTCTTGAAGTGTTTCCCCTATGTTTTCTTCCAGGAGTTTTAAAGTTTCAGGTCTTATATTTAAGTCTTAAATCCATTTTGAGTTGATTTTGGTATATGGCAAGAAGTTAGGTGTACCTCATTTTTGAAAAATGCTTATTATGCTCTGCCTTCAAATATAATATCATTTTGCATTTATAATAAGAACTTCAGAGCAGTATGCTTCTATTTCCTCCTACCATATTCTGTGCTATTGTTGTCATACATTTTCCTTCTACACGTGTTATAAACCCTACATAGTTTATAACTTTTAACATAATATATTGTTATTATTTTTACTTTACATACCCAATTATCTTTTAAATAAGTTATACATGTCTTTTATATTTACCCATAGATTTATGATCTCTGGCATTCTTTATTATTTTGTGTAGGTCTGAATTTCTGTCTAATAAAATTTTTCTTCTGCCTGTAGAACATTTTTTAATATTTCTGATAGTGTAGGTCTGCTGACAGTAAACACAGCTGTTGTTTGCCTGAAAATTTCTTTTATTTCATCTTCATTTTTTAATGGTACTATTACTAGATACAGACTTAGGTTTATAGGAGTTAGAAAGCATGAAGGAAATGGAGAAGAAACAAAGAGTGGGAGGAAAAGAGGAAAGTGTCTTGGAAGTCAAGAAAGTGAGTTGTCAACATTGTTGTCTTCAGCAGGGAGGTCTAGGGTGATAAAAATGGTAACGTTTTGTTGAATTGGCATAATAGAAACAATTGGTGAACTTTGAAGAAGTTTCAGTAGATTAATGGGGACAATAGTTATATTACAGAGTTTTGAGAAATGTATGAAAGTGATGGTGTGAAGGCAGTAGATGTATACTACTCTTTCAAGAAGTTTGTCTGAGAATAGAAGTTGGAAGATGGATTCCTGCTAGAGGGATACATAGGGTCAAGGAAGTTCCCCCCTTAACGCTTCAAAAAAAAAAAATGCTTGAGCATATTTCGAGTCCATTAGAGATCTTTGGTTGAAGCTATAAGAGAAGGAGATAATTGATGGATCAAGGTTTTAGAGGAACAGGAATGGTTGTGATCAAAATCTTTGGAGGAGGACCTGCCTTGAAAAGGAAGAGTTAACAGGAGGTAAGGATAGGTTCAGCTATAAATAATTTTGTTGGAGATTGGTAGGAAGCTAAGGTAGCCTCATTTCTCTTGATAAGGTAAGAGGAGAGATCATTTGCTGAGCTTATGGGGAATGGGCATTGGTAGAAAGCTTGAGGAGGGTGTTGAAGAAGGTAATGATATTTGCCAATGTATTAAGCTATGTGCTTGGAGACACAAAGTATGCAAAAGCAGATGGTTCCTTTAAACTTACAGCTTAGTGTGAGAGTGAGATATTAATCAAATAGTCACATAAATGAATGTAAAAATGATTAATGCTTTAAAGGAAAGTCGTAAGAGAATAGAAGAGAGAACTGACCAAGGACCAGCAAGGGGAATTCTACTTGGGGTGCAGAGTCTAGCTTAACTGAAGTTGCAGATCATGGTGATTGGATTTATCCAGAGCTGGAGACTGGTTGCAGCTGTCATGATGAAGCAACTGGTGGCTCCAGTTAATGAATTTCAAGTGGTTGGTCAACAGCTTGTAAGATAGTGAAAATCTGCAGTTATGGAAGAAGGCCTATGACACAGTCCTGTGGAATGCCAACTTTTTAATTATTTTAATTTGATCTTAGCAAATTGGCACTCTCACAAAGAAAGTTTTTTTTTTTTTTTTTTTTTAGATTATACTACCCTGTTTAGTGGTGACCTCAAGAATTAGGAACCAGGTATCTCTAAATTGATTTGACCGTGGGTAGACCAGAAATACATTTATAGTGATTATCTTAAAAAATTGTAACTATAAATATAAATAACTAGTTGCAAGGTTTCTATAAGTCCAAATCAAGGCCTGAATGAGTGAATAAAGTCTGCTTTGCTATGGGAAACAGTTGGCAGCTGAGGTGGCAGAGCGCAAATATGTTTACTCCATGTGGATTATACCTTTTGACAGGTGTATTTATGTTCTGTAGTCAAAGAACACTTTAGGTAGTTTTCAAGAACTTTGCAGAATGGAAGAATATTTGTCTCATTCAGGAAACCCAGATTCTAGTGTTTGCCTTGGTATTCACTCACTTTTTCCTTTCTTGGCCTAAAAGTTTCTCAGCTGTACATTAACAGGTAGTTTGTACTAGGTGATTTCTAGGATCTCTGCGACACTTATGTTCTATAGCTCCAAAGAATATATAATAGATTTTAGAGCCAGACAAATCTAGATTCCTAACTGGGTTTTCACACTTGTATACCATGTAACGGGCAAATTACTTAATTTGGGGGAACTTTCCTTATTATAAAATGAAAAAAATACTTTATAGTGTTGTGATAAGAATTCAGTGTGATAATATATGTGAAAGTATTTAATGCAGTACTTGACATAGAAGAGTACACTGATAGATTTGTTGAAAACAAACCCCAAAACCTGGCATAATGATCAGCACATAGGGGATGTTGACTAAATACTTCTCAGTTGATTTAATAATGTGGTATTTAAACACAGCGAAATGCCTTACTAGTTGTTACCTGAAATCTCTGCATTTTTAGATCCAGAGAAATACCAAAATTTGAAACTTAGGCGCAAACTGCAAACCTACTAACTTCAATGTCATTTCCTTTGTTCTAGAGAAGCAAAGATGTGAGTACTCTTGATGTTGGTAGAAACTAAAGCTCTGTGCTGAAGTGAGTTCTCTACATAGCAGTTCTAAGTCTTATTTTTTGCTTTCCCTTGTCTTGATAATAAACTTATAAGAAAATAGAAATAATTTGGTTGTGTTTTGTGGCCTTAACCCAAAGTAGTGGGTTTACATGTTCTTTCTTAAATTTTCAATGTCATTTTTTTAAAGGGGAGATAGAGTGTCAGAATTTTCTATGGGAAGCTGAATTTCTACTCCTCAACAATAGCACAGAAGTTTTATATGAAAATATTCAAATTTGAAAATTTTTCTCATGTGCTAAATATTCTTAGAGCTCTGAAGATGAGTGGGTTGAGGCTGTTCCATCCCAGACTCCTGGCAAGGGAAAGGCCTGGAAAGTGAAAGATGAAAAGTCTGAAAAAGAAGATGACAATCAAGTTATTCAGGTAAGCAAGTCACCTGATTTTTAAAAAGTGTCAACTTCTAAGAATAGATGAATGTCAAAATGAAAGATTATTCTAATTTCTTCAGTAGAAAGTTAACTTTGAAAACAGTGTACTTTATGAATAATTTGGCAGTAGTGCTGACTGCTTAATGTTTGGACTCCCCTCCTCCTCCTGCTATGAGAGAATGAGTGTTCGTCTCTATCGTAGTCCCTTAGAGGTTTTCTTGCTTCTGATTGTTGAGAGAGAAGTGGCACTTTCCTTTTATGTATGTGAAGCCTTGTACTGTTACTTTATCTGAACCTTCTACAGTGAGTAGAATTCAAAAATAGTTTTTCTTTCCCTTCACCTCATGGCTGTAATTTTCTTAGCAATGCCTACAGTTGAGTAGTTCACAGATTTTGGGTTATCGTTTATATGCCTAAGGGAGAATGTAATGTATCCACTGTTAGACACAGATGAAGGAAGAAATGTGAAAGGAACTAATGTTTGCTTGTTGTGTGCCAGGCACTGAGCTGGACGCTTTATATCCATTTTCTTGTTTTCTCCTTAAAACAGTCCTGAAAGATAGATATTTTATCCCATTTTACAGGGGAGAAACTAAGGCCTAGAGAGATTAAGAAACTTGCCTTAAGTTATACAGCCATACAGGATTTGAGCCAGGTGTGAGTGCCTAAACCCTAGAGCAAAGTGTTTATTAAGTTCTAATCAATTTAGCCTGAAACGGTCATCTTTTTTCAACAGAGGGATGAGTGGATGACTGTTGATTTTATGTCTGTTAAAACTGTGTCATCATCATCACTCAAAGCTGAAAAGGAAACTATAAGGAAAATAGAACAAGAGAAAACCCAAGCACTTGAACAGGTAAGAGAATATTTAAAATGCTTTAACTTTCTAATTTGCCTTTAATAAACTAAGACATTTGTATAAATGCAATTTTACTTGTAAAATATTATTTTATGTTTTGTGGTTTTTTAATACAGTTAGTGAGAACAGCTATGAAATGGGATATGTTTTGTTAAAATAAGTTTCCCATAGGAAGACAGTTTAAAGGTATACTAGATTAATAAATCTAGGGCATATATATAGTTGAATGAATATTGACTTTAGGTTAATATCATTGTATTAAAAGTGAACCCTTTCATCTTCTGTTTCAGTGTACATACTGAATTAGAGACCATAAGAATGCTTTAATTTCAAGACACCTAAAAATTCTGGATAAAATATAAAATAAGCATGTAAGGAAGTGCTGAAGCTGGTGGCTTTCCAGGTGGCATCGCACAATCCTGATAATCTTGAATTTCAATTTTAATGGGTCCTTAGGGATAAAGGCAAGAGCCTGCATGAGATGGGAAAACCTGATTGATGAACCCCTATAAATCTGGGACCCTGGAGGAATATACCCTTAATGAAAGGATGAAGTTGAGGAAATGATGAATTTGAGGAAAAATCCAGTTGAAGGCAAGAAAACTTGCCTGTCTTGTCAGGTGGTGGGAGCACGCTGATTATATATCTCCTCTTGATATTAGGGATATCATTTCTTTAGTATTCTAGGCTAGTGTTTTTCAAAATATTGGTCATGAAATTAATTTATTGCTATCAGCACTTAAAAATATAAAATACCAGCTATGTATTACATGTAATAAAAGTGTATTTTGTTTCCTTAAACTTTTGTTTTGGACACACACACACACACACTCATGCTGTCTTTCACTATGGGTCAGGGTCACAGAAAAGTTTGAAAGCCAGTGCTTGAGGCTGTGTCTGTGTCCTCTTCTGTTCTTATGCATGCATTGTGCTAAATGCTATAGAACTATAGCACTTATCAACAGACCCAGTCTGTACCTTATACCAGTTCTTCAGCCTTCTTTCAAAAGCAGATCTCCTTACCCCAGTTCTTGGCTTTATATGGCGAGACTGGCTCCATTCTTCTGTCTTACCTGGAGCACTTTTAGTATTTATTATCTTATGCGAATTGAATGCAGAACTATTGTTTTCTGCTTGCACCCAGGGCCCGGTAGACCTATGGCTTCAGTCCTGCTTACTGCTTTGCTAGTCTCTTCTGTTTCTCGTCCATGGAGATAGTTATCTTATTTTGAACTCAAGTATGTTTTATATTGTGTATATCTCTTCTATTTGTCCAGAGCAGGGAGATTGTGATGAAGTGGAATCTTACTAAGCCATTTTGATTAGAAGACCTGAACATGTTTTAGAGATCGATTCACTTTGACATATTTTATTTGTTTCATTCTTTTTCATTACTGTATAGTCTTTCATCATCTTACTATGCCACACTGTAAATATCTATTCCTCTACTTATGCACACTTACATTGAAGACCTGAACATGTTTTAGAGATCGATTCACTTTGACATATTTTATTTGTTTCATTCTTTTTCATTACTGTATAGTCTTTCATCATCTTACTATGCCACACTGTAAATATCTATTCCTCTACTTATCCACACTTACATTGTTTACTGTTTTTCACTATTACAAACAGAGCTACAATGAAGGACCTTAGATATAACAATTGGTACTGCCCCAGCAATATGTGTTTCTTTTCCAGTACTAAGTACCTATAATTGTCAAACTTTAAAATTTTTGCCAGATTAATTAATGGGTGAGAAATGGCATTTTATTGTTTTTCTCAGGTTACTACAAGAGATCTTTTCATGCATTTTGGTCATTCAGATTTCTTGTACTGTGAACTGCTTGTTTATGATTTTGCTTACTTTTCTGTTAGGTTCATTTGTCTTTTTCTTACTGATTTGTAGAAGTTCTTATATATTTAGTCCTTGTCTCATACATTTTCAGATAGTATCACAACTTGTCTGGCCTCTTGTCAGTTCTCCTCCTCAGTATGTAATCTAGCTTTTTTTTTTTTTTTTTATCCTGTTGAGTATCTGCTGTGTATCTGAGTGTTTAGATAAGACCATTGGAAGAAATTTGTTAATTATAGATACCGAGAGATTTTGTAGTAAATTAACAAAGCAGGTGACAGAACCTTTTTTGCTACAAACTACTGTAAGGGATCAAACCTCCAAGTTAAACATTAACTTAAATTTTGTCCTTTGGAGAGTCTTTTTTGTCAGTTTGTAGATACATTTAAAAAGGTTTTTCTTTAAACATCTTATCCAACATTTTTCTTTTCAATAGTATGGTTGGTTCATACTCTTGGAAACTGAAGGTGCTAATGTTTAACACTTTCCTTCTCTCTCCATCCTGTTGCCATTATTCTTGTAGGAAGCATTTTTTCACCCCCTGAGGTCAAGTTAGATATCATTAGAAGGTAGTTCTGTAGCACCCTTTACTTTCATAGCACTTATCTATGTTAATGTTGCTTAATTGTCTTTCCCCCTTCTCTAGACCGTAATTTCTTTGATGGCAAGGACCATGCCCACCTTATTCATTATAGCCCAGTGCCTGGCGTAGTGCATGGAATGCAGGAAGCACTGGGGTTGTGATTAGGTTACCATCATCTCTTGCCTAGATTACTGCCACCATTTTCTGACTGGATCGTGTCTCTAATCTTGCTCTTTTCCACGGTTTTTTCCACACAGAAAAGTTTGCAGTTTGTGTGATACAAGCTGATCACTTTCATGAGTCACCATTGCCCCCAGCATAAAGCCTCCAGAACAATTCAAAATGACTCATGTGACCTAGTCCTTGATTGTTCTACAATCTAATGGCTTGTCACTACTTACTCACACTTCTAAGTTTTAGCCAGTCTGAATTCCTTTAAGTTCCCTGAGAGTGCTGTGATTTCTATTTCTCTAGGGTTTCATGAACATGCTATTATTATTTCTATCTGGAGCATCTTTATGTCCCTCCGGCCTGTAAAAAAAAAAGAGAAAACTTAGCTAATTTCTACCCATCCTTAGGTCTGAGACTGTGTATATTATTTCTTCTTGGAAGACTTTGATCCTTCAGTGTGAGAGGGGTTTGAATTCTTTGTGTGGCTTTAGCACTCTGTGTGTCTATCTTCAAAGCACTTATCAATTACTTATTCTGTTTTTCTCACTATATCCCAAGCTACCAAGGGCTGAGTCAGAATTATTGACAGTTACATCTTCCACATGTAGCACAATTCTGAAACATGGTAGACATTGAATAAAAACATTGAATGAATGTGAATTTAGACATTATTTCCTGCAAGTTACAGAACAGCGTGTCTTAAGAGTGTTTTAAATGATTTGTACAGGGTTACAACTGTTAACTGCATCTCAGTTTAATTATTAGTATATTTTTGATGGGTTTATTTTTAAATTCTGACTTTTGAAAATGTTTCATTCTAGTCCAAACTGCTGGAAAGAGAATTAAATCCATTCTGGAAGGATGGTGGGACAGGTCTTCCACCAGAAGACTGTAGTGTATCATCACTTACTAAAGGTATTCCTATATTTTGGTTGTAAACACATAGGCATTTCTGATAACTTGGTGTTCCTGAGGGAATGATCTGAGTTTACATAAGACAAAGCATTGATAAAATGTTTATCATCTTTTAAAGCCTTACTTAAGTTATTAGTACTTGAGAAGATTACTTTAATTATGATGTATTTGGGAGCAAAGATGATTAAATATGCATTTTTATGTTGATCATGTTTTCACAAATGAATTTCTGTTTTAAATGGATTAATGCAAAGTATGATTCTGTGAGGATATAATAATGCTTTTGGTATGTTACATTCTGTAATAAGATGTAAAAATTTTAAGTCTGAGAAATTTCATAAAAGTAATGTATAAACATTAAAGATATAGTTTCATATCTTCAGAAATGCCTACTTTGCCAGCATTCTTAAAATTTGTATTGATCTTAGGAGAGTACTGTTATTTTCCAGCAGATGGAGACAAAATATTTGTGTCACATAAGCATACATAATTTTTTTTTTTTTCGTTTTTTTAAAGGATGACCAGTAAGGGGATCTTAACCCTTGACTTGGTGTTGTCAGCACCACGCTCTCCCAAGTGAGCCAACCGGCCATCCTTATATAGGGATCCGAACCCGTGGCCTTGGTGTTATCAGCACCACACTCTCCCAAGTGAGCCATGGGCCAGCCCTAGCATACATAATTTTAAACATACTTAAAAAATCTTATATGTCTACTAAGTGCTACATTGATAATTCAATGAAAAATTTATTTATTAGCAACTGTAGACATATAAAGTTCTTTTTTTTTTTTTTTTTTTTTTTTTTTTTTTTTTTTTTTTTTTTTTTTCGTG